CAGTACCTTCTTACATGATGGTAGCTATTAATGCAGAAATATGCTCAGGCATCAACATAACTTTAGCTTTAGCTGTAAAAGCCATGAGCATGTTCAATGAATAATGAAAATGCATTATAATAAACACACATCCATGCCATAAAGAGGCACCTTAGGGTGGCTAAATGTTTAAAGCCTGCTAGGCCATCTGGAACTGTAATAGCGCAACATCAACCTTTGCTCACGCCTCATTGGTTCGTTCTTCTGCTGAGCAAATGCAGGGACTTAATTGAAGGGTACACTTCTTTAACACTGTTGCCAGGTGACCACAGAGGCTTAATTGAAACGTAACGCTCCAATGGATCTTTTCCTGTCCCTCAATCAGGTGTATTAGCAAGAACTAAGCTTTAATCTTTGTTGGATGTGGATTGTGTTTGCTTCAAGAGGGAAATAGTGTGAGAGGAAAAGAAGGGGAGGAAATGGGTGGAGGGGAGGAAAAGGAAAAACAGGCAAAACATAAAGAGTGCAAAAAGAAGGGCATGAGAGAGGCGGATTAAGGGTCCATGGGAGAGAAAAAAGGCAGGAGGAGAATGAAGTCCTCCAGGATCTGATTATCAGATTAAGCAGAAAATATTGCATCAGCAAAATTTCAACATGGAAATGAAAGGTTTCCTTGTAGGAAAAAAAAATAATAATCTCCTGTTTCTAATTGGATCAAACCTACGCTCAGCATGGAAAACATCACAACTCAGAAAGGAATGACATTGAATTCTCATGTAGCACTCAATTTCACAACTCTCAAATAGTGGGATAAGCTCCTTCAGGCCATAACAGGGGAATCAATACATCAGCTTCTTTTCTTCTACTTTTGTGTTAAGACTGGAGAAAATAATAATGCCGTGTTGCAGTGAGGTAAACAGAACTTCTGCTTACTGAGTCCTGAAGCAGATATGAACAGACTTTGAAGTCATTCCAACAAACTAGATAAGATAATAATAAGGTAAATAAATGTTCATATTGTGATACTTTGGCATCTTAATAAAACTCTTGAAATGGGCCAATGGAAATAAAACTATGCAGTGGATGCAGTGAAAGTGTCCAGCTCTGATTGATTGATTTGATTGATTGATTGATTGATCGGTTGATCGATCAATTGATTGACTGATTGATTGATTAATTGATTGACTGACTGATTGATTGATTGATTGATTGATTGATTGATTGATTGATTGACAGACTGACTGATTGATTGATCGATTGATCGATCAATTGATTGACTGATTGATTGATTGATTGATTGATTGATTGATTGACTGACTGACTGACTGATTGATTGATCGGTTGATCGATCAATTGATTGACTGATTGATTGATTGATTGATTGATTGACTGACTGACTGACTGACTGACTGATTGGTTGATTGGTTGGTTGGTTGGTTTGTTGGTTGGTTTATTGATTGACTGACTGATTGGTTGGTTGGTTGATTGATTGATTGATTGATTGATTGATTGATTGATTGATTGATTGATTGACTGACTGACTGACTGACTGACGATTGATTGATTATTGATTGATGATTGATTGATGAGATGATCGATGATTTTGATTGCATTGATTGATTGATTTTTTACATCGAAGGTTGCTTGGTTGACTGCATGCCTCGCATTTAATATCTCAATTCATTGGATGTATCCCTCTGCTGCTGACTTTTGCGCCCCAGCTAGAGGAGAATATGCGCATGTGCAACTCATTTATAACAAGAATCAAATGGCGGCCCATGGTGCAAATGTTTTGTGCCCCAGACTATAATTATGTATAAGCCTATAAGCAATCAGCAACTTTAGACATGTAGAACATTTCTTATCTACATTTTTATTGCAGACTTATTCAAGCCCACACTTGCCAGTTGTCTGGCTAAAAACCGGGGAAATAATATTTGAAGAAACGTCAACTGTAACCATCAGGCTGTGAAAGCTCTGTCGAATCTGTCACTTTTGTTGACTTTTGAAGATATACTCAATACATCCCAGGACAGCAATCCTGAAATATTCCGCCTGCTGCAGTCCAAGAATTATTTTCCAATAACTTTTGTATCTCTACCCAGGTAAACTGCTCTGAAAAGGTCAACAGAGGTGTGAGATTGATGAGAGCTAAGTCAAAGTGTACTGTAAGGAGTGGGGTTGATAAAACAATCCTTTAAAAGACACGGTGCTGGCTTTGAAAAGCCCCTCGCTCTGCTACTGCTCAGTGTGGGACACCTGGTTTCTCCCGCTTGCACAGAACTACAGAGAGGCATGAAAAGAAGATGCTGTGAATTGTGCTTCGCTTCCCTGCCTCTCAGGATCTTATACAAACAGAAAAAAAACATCATTGGTGGAAATATAACACATAAACAATCTCCCAAACTGGGACACAGGAGGAATGCGTACACATTCATGAAAAACTGATGCACAGTCACAAAGCCTTTTTAAGGCAGCATTACTGGTTCAAACCAGAGCAGCATTTCTGTTGATGTAAGAGAGATTACGAGGGATCAATTTCCCAGCCTGGAAAGATTAGAAGCTATTAGTGTTGTAACAACCCTGGCAGGGACCTGCTAACTCCCCTGCCAGGTCCGAACCTCCAGTTGATGAGGAGGCTGTGGCTCTTTGGACCGGACTCAGAGTGAGTTTTTCAATATTTTTTATGTAAGTCAGGAAGCTCTGACCAATGCCTTCATACCAGGGGTGACCTCAGTTACTGTTCTGTAAGTATGCATTCATTATATCAACCCCTCAGGCCAAAGCAGTGATTCACAAAGTCAGCCTTTAGTCAACATCCACTCAACATTTGAAGCATAACTCTGTGAGCTGCAGAGAGCTTATGTCTATGTCAGTTAGCTAACACATAATTACTGCAAGATAGAGATGCACTGATTGTAAAAATCAGGGTTGATATTCCTTATTAATTCTCATGTCTGTTTTTCGAATGAGTTACTTGATGTTTGCTAGTCGTGCCTCCTCTTGAAATGTCACTGGAACATGTTTTACAAACTGTGGGCTGCTGACATTTTCCAGAAAAGGTGTTAAGATTCCCAAGCTGCTGACATTTTCTTTCAAGTTTGACTATGAAAACAAATCAGAGTTTATCCAAGAGGTGATTTCTACTGCCCAATAACAAACATCTTCTCTGAATAAACACTAAGGTGCACTAGTTTATCAGTATTAAATTGATGTGAAACAACAGATACACTTTGGCTATTGACATCCATACATGCCACAAATGTTTGCCGATAGTCCGATGTTTGTCAACAATGCAGATATCGGCTGATATCAGTGTTCAACCGCTACATCATTACATCCTTATTACAAGGTTAAAATAAGGTGCAGGGCACTAATAAAAGAAGGATGCAATAAAAGAAGGGTGCGAAATGCATGGTTTCCATATAGTGTAAAATATGTTGCACTTGCTCAATACAATACTCAACTTTCATTCACCAGCTGGCTGCTTACTTTATCTACTGTTTGGAGCTGAGCAGTTAGTGTACAGTTAAATTTACATGTAGGTCGGCTATGAGCCTCTCGACACAGGTGATAGTCATTTGAACTATGTCTACAAATAAAACTACATCAACTGAAGAGTTTGACAACTGCTGTAACTATTAAGTTCTCAATTCTGTTGCATTCACAAAATAATGACAAAATGCAAAGAAAACCTCCCATAATCCTGACTTTGGAGAGCTCATGGGGCAAGTCTTTATATTGTAAATGTCCTAACTAAGCTAGATTTTTTGTGTTTTTAATTTCATGTTAATCTCCTTCCTGTTTATATTAAATAAACTAATTATTCTACTTGCACGACTTAAAGTTCAATGTTCTTGTGAAAGAGATTTTATTTAGACACCAACAGTTTACTTGAAATTGGTTACTATGACAGCTCTGTAGTACCTGCACAATAACAATCAGTCAACCACTTTATCCTTTGTGCAACAGTAGCCTATTGCATTATACTTGAACATGTGTCATCCTATCTGTGCGATTTCAGGCCTGTGCTTCATGTTAGAGATGATGTATTCCTCTCAGGAGGAAACAGACACAGTGAAAAAAGAACACACATGCAGCTAAAGAGCTACACTGGTGTATTCAAGGCCTGGCATTTAGGGGGGGAAACTACATTAGCAGGGTTGTCATGTACCGAGCTGTGGGATATATTACAGCCAGAAGCAGTTTTAAAACAAGTTGGGGCCCTTCCAAGAAAGTCTCAAAGCAATATCTTCAGCCATATGGAGGGGGAAATGCATTCTGCTCTCACTGGCACAGAGCTCTCTAACAATATTTAATATTGTATTGATATAACCTGTTGGGAAATCATGATCAGTGACTGTTATTAAATTCACAAATTATGTACCTCTCTGATTTATTTTCCCTACTTAATACGTGGTACCTGATTTATTTTTCAGAAATTACATCAAAAACGCGCTCGCCTTTAGTCAAATGGATGCTGAATCCCCTACCAAAAAGTATCAAGAATATTCCAGGACAGCACAAGACTATCTTAAATATGTACTGCAATAAAAGAGGATATTTAAGATATTTGTGTGCTGTCCTGGAATATTTCTGTTATTTCAGAAGTGAAATACAGAAGGCTGTAACTTTCTAATGAAAGCAATTGATAGAAACAAATCAGTTTCATAAATTCAGCTCAGTAAATTGATGAGGTTCATGTTGTTTAAATGATCTTTTTCATGTTCTAGTTCCATATTCTAATAGTTCTAGTAATTTCACATGCAAACTCAGCGTAATGGAGATGAGCAGTCCAACACTGCCACCATGCGGCCAAATGTGGAAACAGTAGTAATAGCCACTTCTCCAAAACATGTACACAAAAATAAAAATGAAATATCTAACAGTGTATAAAGAAAACTCTGAATCGTTTATTAAGATAGCAATAGCAAGGATATCAAATGCTTAATTTAAAAGAGATTACCGACGCGGCCATTAAACGGAACTCACGACAACCCGGAAGAGGACTCATATTTCTGTTACACGGATTTATAAAAAGTGCGCACCCTTCCTGTCCGGAGTTGTTGCTATTATTTTGATCAGGTTTGGTCATGTATCGAAATGTTTTGGGTAGACTGGTGACAGAAACAGTCCGTGTTCATGTAAAGAAAACACATTTAATAGAGAGGGTAAGAGCTGCCGCCGTGTCTGTCAGGACGTTTTCTGATGTGAAGGACGGAGTGCAGCAGCCTTTCGACGCCTCCCTGCTTCACTTCCTAGTGTGTCCTCTGTCCAAGAAGCCACTTAGGTAAGACAAACAGAGCAAAGTGAAGCGACAATAGAAAGTATTACTTCACTGGAGAGTTTTAATTTTCAAGTGTAATAGGTCCAGAAGGCTGCAGGTTCCTAAATCTGGAAGAGTTAATCCGGGTTTATTCCGAATTTGCTGAATTTTAATTGAAGCCACCACGACTGGAAAAATGTGCCATGTTGTCATTGAAATATTCAGTCACGTTTTCTTGCATCCTCTGTGCTTCAACAGGTGCTTCATTTCGGTCATTTAAACACTTCCAACTATGAGGGACAAAAAATGACTAAAGTATAAACAAATAAATGCATACAATAATGTATAAATAAATAAATACATCAATAAATATATAAATGTTGAAAATAATACATCAATGAATAAATAATAAATACACTTTGTTAATGAAAAAGGCTATTTATATAATTTGACATGTATTTATTCATTTATTAGCGTATTTCTACAGGTATTATGTATCAATGCATACATTTCCACATTAATTGAGTTATTAATTTATTTCCGTATTTTTACATTTACACATCTATTTATTTCTGTGTCCAGGTCGTAAGAGGAAACGTATATATGTAAATTTGCTTCTGTCTGTTTTTCAAAATTGACCAATCCTACTTCAGTAATGTTAGGACGGCCCACTTAATTTACATATTTACTTTTCCTTGTACAACATGGACACAGAAATACATAATTAATTAATATATTTATTGATGCATTTATTTAATTATTCATTTATTTATACATTATTGTATGCATTTCTCCCAACATTTATTTATTCATTCATTTATTTATTTATACTTAAGTCATTTTTTGTCCAATGTTCCATAAATGCTAACATAATTTTCGGGTAACTGTTAGTATTGAGTGAGTAAGTGACCATGGTGACTATTGGTTGTTGCATTCAAGTGTTGTGGGAAAGCTAAGTTGCTGTACTGACACTGTGTAAAGCACCAATGCCTATGTTTTCATGTGGTAAATTAACAAATTGAACATACAATAGGACACGTTTTAAGTTAAAATTTGGACTGAGAATGTGAATAGTTTCATAAAAGAATAATGTTCCACTTGTGGCTCCCCAGGTATGATGCTGACACCAATGAGCTGATCAACGAGGATCTTGGCATCGCCTATCCTATCATTGACGGTATCCCCAACATGATCCCGCAGGAAGCCAGACTGATACAGAAAGACACCTTAACTACACCAACGCAGGGATAGAAACTCCATCGCAACTGCACCTTCAGCTGACCACAGACTGGAAGGTTTTTGTTTTGAAGGCTATTGTTCTGAATGATACAGTACTTAATACTGTCATCACATCCTGATCAACTCTGTCCTTTTGAATTGCTGTACATTGAGGACTCATACATAACTCTTATACATGTAATAGATCACCTCAGAAATTCACCAACCCTGTAGAAGACCTCTTCTGCAAGTATGTTCTCTCTGTCCATGATGGTGGGATTGGTCCCAGTAGTATCTCTGTTTGGTTTGTTCTACTCTGCTGCGGTGGAAGAGAACTTTCCACAAGGCTGCACCAGCAGCAACAGCCTGTGTTTCTACAGCCTGCTGCTGCCCGTCACTATCCCCGTCTATGTCTTCTTCCACCTCTGGAGCTGGATGGGGATCAAGCTCTTTAGACACAACTAGGCTCTTCTGACATGCTCTGTAACAGGAAGTCTTTACTGGAAAACACTTCCAGTACGATGAAATCATCTGTTGGATATGTTGCTTGGATTTCCCGGCAGGAAACTGCTGTGATATGTTTTCATTGAGAGTAGATCCATTACAGGATTATGGAACAGAACTACAATGAGCAGTCTAGTATATAACAATACTTCTGATAACCTATCCAAATGGGTTAGATTTAGCAAGTTGAACCTTCCTTTTAATACACATGACTGGTTGTGTTTGTGAATATGTTTTACAGATGGAGGGCTGCTGTGTGTAAAACTGAATAAAGACTTCTTTTCTTTCCAAATACTGACTAAACGACTTTCTTAAACATGTTATCATATATTACAATAATGCCAGCAACATGTCTGTCCATTTGTAACCGAGAAAGTCAAGAAATACAAACATGACATGACATGTCAGAGATCCACAAATATTAGATGGTGTAAATGCAAACTTACAACTCAATAGTTTATATCTTGCAGAATGTTTAATATTCAAACCTGGGTTTCTTCACAGTAAAAAACTTCAATTGACAAAAACACTTTTCTCTTTAACAGAACAGAGAATGGATGAATATTAATGTCTAAGCTTCCTGAAAACATTCAAACACCTGGAACTTAAACTGATATTTAAGGTAACATGAGCATGTGTGCACTACGAACCCAATGCCAAAAACATCACAGCATAGTCTCATAAATAAAGTTAATCAGGACTTGCAATCCTTAAAGCTCATTTTAGGACAATCTTCTCTTTGAAAGATGACTCATGACATCCTCCTAACAGCCTTAACATCGATTGACTTTTGTTTATCATGTCAAGATTGACTGTCCTTACACTCCTATCATCACATTTTGACCTCTCAAGAACAAGGTTCTTACTGAGTTTTAGCATCAACTGTTAAATTTGATTTCCCCTGTAAATCTCAAAATCTGCCCGCTCTTAAACCTTAAGCCACTTAGTTCCAGACATGAAAGGACATCAAGCAGCTGCAGTAAGAAACCACATACGTTGACTGCAGGTCAGTGACCCTTTTTGCTTTTCACCTCTCGGCTGCCCTGGGCCAGCTTCATCAGTGGAGACTCTGGTCTGGGCGACAGTCCCTCTCCTTTCGTCTTGAAAAAGAAGGACTCGTTGAGTTTCATCTGGACGGCTCTGACCTGACGTCAAACAAAAAATAAAGACATTAAAAAACATTTTTCACATGCATTAGTACGACTATTTCTCAGCAACACACTAATGAATATTTGTTTTCAAGGTAACTTTGTATTAGCTTTATAGCAGCAGGATGGTGTGTGTAACTAGATGTCATGACTTATATCAAATTACAGTTTGTGTTTATGATATAATGAAAGAACATGTCAGCCTGTGCAACCGTGGATGTAAATGGAGGAATGAGGTGTTTTAGGTAAACCACAATGATACAAACCACAATTCACTCGGCAGGGCTGCAGCCTAAACAGCCCCAAACTAATGCCCAAAGGTGCAAATGTTTAAACTGGTAAATGGACTTGAACTTGAATAGCAGTTTTCTAGTCTTCTGAGTACTCAAAGCGCTTTTACATCACAGGTCACACCTACACATTCACACTTATGGTAGAGGCTGCTATGTAAGATGATCATCAGAAGTATCTAATCCTATTCATACACATTCATACATCGCCGACGAAGCAGTGTTAGCAACTTAAGGTTATGTGTCTTGCCTAAGGACACATGTTGCTGCAGGAGCTGGAGATTGAACCCCGACCTTCCAGCTAAGAAACAACCAACTCTACCAACTGAGCCACAGCTGGTGTAAAGTGGCACAAAGATGTCAACAAAAGAACATGATTTCATCTTCACCTATATAAGTCTTGTCTCTAAAATGGAATAAGATGCAAGTAGACTGTATCACAATAAACCTTTGAGGAAAACAAATACAGGCAGTAAATCCATGGCCCAAAGTGCCACACATTCCAACTGCAGTTAGGTAATTAAAGAATGAGATTTTTTTCTTATTTTTCAGACGTACACTTAAACCTCATTGATTAAAGTTGTTCAAAATTAAGTGTTTTCTTATTGGTTTAACCCCTACCCGTCTTTGCCAGCCTGATCGCTTGAGTGTAGTGATGTACGATTGTGAGAATTGTGAAAGGGAAAAAATGGTATTGCACAACATCCCATATAGATTTAAGGATATATAATATTATTTACCTTTTACTTACTGTATGTACAAGGAGTTCAAGAAAAAACAAAAACCTCTACAACTAGAATATCAATGGATTTATTTTATCTGTTATGAAACTCTGAAACCATTCTGAATAGAGAGTTTCTGACTGTCTCACTTAAGGTGGATCGGATGAAGTTTTATCTTCTCGTCACTGGCTTCCCATAGGTTACAGGATATAGTTTAAGATTATTTGTTTTAAAGCCCTTAATAAAAATGGCTCTTAATACGTGACTGACCTTCTCAGCCCTTACACAACCTCCAGGCCCTTCAGATCTACAGACATGAGCCTCATGGCAGTCCCTCGTTCTAATCAGAAACTCAGGCCACTCTTTTGAAATCAAGGCTCCTCGACTGTGAACGGCCTTCTTACCTCGATCAGGTCGCCCCCTGCACTCTCTTATTTGTGTGAGGTGGATTTTCTCTCTGTGTTTTGACTGTATTGCTTCCTGTACAGCACTTTTGTCAGTTTGCTTTACAAATACATTTGATTTGATTGAAATTTGTAAAAAATGATAAAACAGGTGTTGAACTGTAAATTGACCGGAGTATCATAAGGTATTACATGCGTCAGGTCCAGCTTGCCGGTGCGACAGGGCTGCTCGTTGTCCTCACTGGAGGTTGACATGTCTGCAGACTTATTGTCAGACTCTGACAGGGGACTCGCAGCTGTTTCAGCTTTTCTTCGAGTGCTTACAGAGCCAGGACGTTGACAAGAAGGCTTTTCCTGCACCTCTACATCTTTAATGTCTGAAGAACAAGATAGACACCGTTTTCTTTGGTTGTCACTTTTCATTAAAAAACATGTCCTCAGGTCTTTTCTGGCCCTCTGAGCTGAGCTCAGGTCCAAAGGTTCCAAGTCCTCAAAATGTTCAGTTTCTCTCCTTTTTTGGCAGAAGTGAAGGTAGGAAGAGAGTTTAGTGGTGAAGAAGTTATCTGTCTGTGTAGAAGTGCTGGTCATGGACATTTTGGGAAGCACAGATGGCTGAAGACAAGGAGGTGGTTGTTGGTTTGAAAAAGGAGAATGTTTCTTCTCTGGGGAGGGGGATAAAACAACTGGCTCATCCAGGTAAGGATTCATCACTCTGGGCTTTGTATAGAGAGGACGTGATCCTTTTTTCCTCTCAGTATGGTTTGTGTTTAACTGTGTCCGTGACTGAAGACACAGTTTCCTCTCTCTAAATAACCCGTCTTCTTCCTCTTCTTCTGTCTCAAGTACCTGTAAAGTCTTTGGTTTCTGCTCAGGCGTCTTCCTGTGATTCTGATAGAATTCAGGGTCTTGTGGACATTTAAATGGCTCTTCATGATGCTGCTCCATCTGTGTCGCAGCCGGAGAAGTTTTAATGGCTTCATCACTGGAAGGTTGGGAGGGTGGTGCTCCAAATGTTTTCTGGGTAATAAAAAGGTCCTGGCTGTTTACGTCGTCGCTGGTGCACTGAGAGTCATTATTGTGTGTTGGACCCTGGCTGTGCTCTGTTGCATGTGAACAGCTCTCACTATCTCTCTCAGCTTCAGTCACTAAGATGAGGCTCTCTTTGGGAGACTGCTGAGTTGACGAGACAAATTTGGGACGTTTGACTCGCATGTATGCTGGTGGCAACTCAAACCCCACTTTCTTTTTTCTTTTGGCCTTCTTTTTTGAGTCTTGAGTGAGTTGATCGGGATGGAGCTTGTCACTGCTGAGTGAATTCAAGGTTTGTTTTGTTTGTGCATTACCGCCCTGTGTAAATACAGCGCTGTCATCTTGTTCAAAAGGTAATCTGTTTTTCTTTTTCTTCTTTCCCTTTATCTTTTCTTTCCTTCCCTTCATTGCCTCCTTGTATTTGGAGTTTTTCTTTTTCTTTTTTTTCTGGACCTGTTCATCTGTATTCATGTTTAAGTTTTTTTTGCTTTTTAGGCATTTCTTGTCCTTTTTGGATTCTTTCTTTCCTTTTCTTCTCCCAGGTGATATCCAAGACTCCCAAAAGGAGTCCGTAACCTCGAAGTCACTCATGAGTCTGTTTAATGAAAAGAGCAAAGTTAAATGTTTCTCAAAAGCATACAGGAATCTTTTTTTATTTTACTACAAAGTCTCCCATGTGAACAAATAAATCAATGCCATAACTTAAAGAAACAGAAGATAGTGGATAGTAAGGCTTTCTTAAAATGTATATTCTGGTTATTTTGTGATATAACCTGTTGTTCCAGCTTCTAAGAAAACATTTAGAAACTGTTAGTAAAATAGATACTTAAAGCAGTAACACACAGTATCCCAATGCCAGCTACATTAGAGGAAGGTCTAATTAAAATTCATCCTCTGACAAATACATGTGATTTTCTAATTTGGGACTTTGATTTGACTGTTAAATATTTTTTTGTTCCTATCTTTATTCTTCCAGGCTATCTGAAAGTTTTTGACTTGTGTTCACATCACATATCTTTTGTCAGAGAGCCCACATGCCTCCAGCTGTTCAATACAAAGAGTGTCTCGGGCTCTATACTGACAACATGAGCTGCGTTCCTATTGGATGTATTTACACATTAAATGTAATTGATGATGGTGGTGTAGGAGAGCATTGTCTCACATGTGACTTGACAAAAATCACATAGATGTTCACACCTGCGTCTGTCGATAGAGACAGACATGTTCTGTGTCTGCTTTTGCCTGCTAAACATCCACATGTTTTTCTGTCTGTAATCTGTCAAGCAATTTAATCAGGAACGGTTGGTGGTAACGAGAGTGTGCATTAGGTTTCATCGTTTCCATAATGAGGTTTTAAACTGGACTATTTTGTTTATCACTGTTATGGCTTCACATTAAGCCCAGGCAATGAGGCAGCAGACATGATGAATGCTCTCTGCTTCTGTAAAGATAAACTCAGCAGAGTAGAAACTCCATACATCAACATAATGACAGGTCGATGGATTGTATTTCCCTGAGGACATAATGCATTT